TATCTGTAGAACAAGAGGCTGAGAACTGATGCCCATTGAAGGGCCGTGAAGTTGCTTAAATATTATTAATCAATTTTTTTTTTCGAAGGGGTCGGAAGGTTGAAACATTCCGAATGAAATAAAGCATCGAGTAACTATTGAAACATACCCACGATATATGATACCTATATACACCAGATTCACATTTCCCGCACTACCTTTCGGCCGGTACATTTTCAATAGTGAAGTCGTCAGCATGATGGTAAATGCCTCTTGCCGTACACCCTGCCTCTGGCGACAACCGAGGTGCACATCTTTAGAACTGTTCGGTAGCTGCGTCCTTCCTGCCTACGTATTTGGCTGGTCTGCTGAGGACTTACCTGGAAGTCACGCCGCATCCATCATATGAGGAATTCATTCGCGCATAAGTTTCTCCGGTCCGGCCTTCGTGACATCCTCGTTAGCTTGTTCTTCACCAAGATGCCACAGGTTATGGAGGCTTTGAACTCCTAAGTCTCCATTTTGGGAGGATATCCTGAAGCACATCCGACATAACAGATCTTCATTTTTCCGCCTCGGCAACCAGTCTCCGAAACAAATTGACCCTGGTTTATATGGGTTCGTCGCCTCTTGTCAGTGCCAGTTTCTTCACGACAGTCTTCGAGGAGGTGGCACTTGATAGAGCAACCGGTAATCCCTTCTGTCGATTCCGTTAATTCAGGCGACATATTCGTGATCCGGCCCCACGATCCATAGAAGCTGAGGAGCTTCTTTGACCAGCCAAATGCTCCACACCGAAACATTCATTCGCCGTGAAGACATTGAGACCTGCGCAATGATGTTTGCATGATACCTGATGGCTCTTTGTTGAGTGATGGGATCCCATCTACACTAACTTCTGAACGGTTGGCTTTCACCAATTCGTAAATTATTACTTGCATTGTATACACGGTGAGACGAGATACAGGATATAAACAAAAACAAACTCCGTGGCCTGTAATCCGCAAGCGAACTATAGCGACCGAACGACCGCCGCTTGTCGGCGAAGTGAGCGCCAACTTTAGCGGATAGAGGGTGTCGCGTTGTTAGCACAACGGATCCCCACGGCCGTTAATTTCGGTTTTCTAGACCGGAGCCGCTATTTCCTTGAAATAGCTCAGTTATCCTCACGAGGCTGCGTGGACCCCGTTCCATACCGACTGCATCTCAGAAAATGTGGTAGCGCCGGGAATCGAACCTGGACATCTGGATCTGTAGGCAGGAACTCGGACCACGAGACTACAGAGGCGGTCGGATGCAGGATATGCAACAGAAAAATGTAAATGACCAAAGCTACATTCTCTCTCTCCAGAACTCTTAAATAAGTGATGGAATATGGTTCTTTAATCTTCAAGAACAAACTGAAAAACAGCTGCAGTACCTTAAAACCACAGTTATAGCAGTAAACCATCACCCAAATATATCACTGTCTTATTGTGCCATTGTAATATACTCACTCACCTTAAGTGAATAAGAGGATCACTGCAGGTGGTATCGTGGAGGCAGATGCTTTAAAGTTTCGGCAGTCAGCAACTTGCAACCATACAATTACGAAAGCTCATATTCATGGAGAGCAAAATAGCGAGGAACCTCCTACATAGTTTTATTATTTCTTAACGGTTTAATTTCCAATAATTAAAAGCCTGGACTTTATCAGAAGTATTGGTGAAGACGCCGGGGTGAAGAGGAATGCATATAGGATATTGGTGGGAAAGCCATAAGGAAAGAGACCACTGGGAAGACCAAGACGTAGGTGGGTGGACAATGTTAAAATGGATCTTCGAGATATAGGATGGGATTGTATAGATTGGATTGATCTGGCTCAGGATAGGGGCCAGTGGAGAGCTCTTGTGAACACGGCAATGAACCTTTGGGATCCATAAAATGCTGGGAAATTCTTGAGTAGATGAAGATTTGGCTTCCCAAGAAGGGCTCAGCTCCATAAGTAAGTAAGTATTGGTGAAGATGCCAGTAAAGTCTGTCATGAGTGTAGCCGCAAATAGAAGAAGGAAACAACAGCAAAAGGAAGAGAAAAGTGGGAGTCACTTCCCGCCAATGTGTCACGTCTGAGTAATATATTCCGTCATTGAAATCGGATGTGAACAGTTGTCTTGCATGTTCTTAAAATATACTTCGTGTTCTGATTTCAGCCTTTCATAACAGGAATTAGTAACGAGTCACTGCTGTTCACTCAGCAAATTTTTGCAAAATTCACAACTTGATGGGACCCATAATTTCGTCGATATGAATTTTCTGTAATGTGACCGACAAAATTAGACCTGGGCGGCATAGTTTTCCTATTCAGCTCCGCCGTTACAACCAGTAGTGGAACCTCGCTTAACGAGCACCTCTCGTAACGAGTAATTCGCATAACGAGCAAAACAAATTCTTAAAAAAAAAAATACTCGCTTAACGAGCGACGTTTCGCATAACGAGTGACGAGAGGGGAAGTCCCGGGTTGTGCGCTTGCTACATCAGCCTGTGTTTAGCACTCGTTCCGCTAGCATCTTAGTGTCGCTTGTGATCACACATTTTTCCAAACTTGTGTTCAGACATTTTATTTGTGATTTTTTGTGCAAACTTTAATAACCCTTGCAAAAATGTCCCCGAAGAAAAAGCCGCAAAAAGACAGCCATAAGAGAATAAAAATAACCGTAGAAATGAAACGTAAAATCATTGAAAAGCGAGAACGAGGTGTGAGCGTGGCTGATCTAGTACGCACATACAGTCAGTCTACAGCAACGATTGACGCTCCTTAACAATGTATATATAATCTTCTTTGAATAAACGTTATACATAATTTTTTTTGAGTATTTTTTTCGGCATGGAACGCATTATCGTATTTTACATTAATTTAGATGGGAAAAATTGTTTCGCTTAACGAGTGTTTCGCATTACGAGTAAGTTCCGGGAACTAATTGTGCTCGTTAAGCGAGGTTCCACTTTGGTGAAATTTGTATTATACATTACGTACATTTCATAACTAAGCTTAACGTCCAATAACGCTTGCTCGACATTCCGACAGTCCATGCAACAGAACTTCCGGTAAGGCCGGGCAGTTTGTTTCGTGCATCTTTTTGTGGAGCACTGTGTTCAAGTCTCATAAGCTGAGTTGAATTTTATTTGGTGCTGGTTTCTTCCACTTTTTCTCAAGTTTCTAGTTAGTTTTCCTTACGCAGACTTTGTAGTCTGTAGGTATAATTTGTTCCTTAGCTTATTTAACGAAGCGTTGTCAATTTGATAGGTTTGTGGCGTGATTCAGAAATATGCGACCGGTGCCTACCGGTACTGCCATGGCATTAACCTAAAGGTTCTGAGGAAGATCACGAAAACTGTAGTTTGATTTAGTTTTCAGTTTGATGGTACAGTTTCTGTCAAAAATTTTCTGCACGAAATTGTTCTGACCTGAAATTAGTTTCATTTATTTACAGGAGATAAATGAGTGTGACCCGTGCCACTGTCCTTTGTTTATTGAATTTGTTACAGAATTGGAAACCATGAACAATAATACCGTATTTACGCATGTATAGGCCGCACATTTTTTGCCAAAAATTCAAGATGAAAACTGGGGTGCGGCTTATATTCGAAATATTCGAAATCACACTTCATTTAAAAAAATTATATTCATAATTAGTAATACAGTGTGTAATACTCCTGAAATAATATTCCAAGAAAATTATTTTTTCTATAATTTCTGTCTGAAAATTGTGCTGCGGCCTATACACGCACGCGGCCTATACATGCGTAAATACGGTAATTCGACACTCCTATGTGTGTTTTAACATGTCACTATACAAGTAGATTCAAAGGGGTTCTGAAGATTGATCCTGTGATTGGGATTAGCTCTGTCTTGCGGACTCAACAGAGTAGGCGTCTCCCACTCGCTCACCTGAGGATGGAAACAGATTCAGTTACCGGAATGTTGTGTTGTTTACTATCCCAGGCGATGGACAAAGAACAAACCCCAATTAATCACGATCTTACTGTACATTTGCCACGTATGCAAAATGATGGTTCGTCACTTCACCATTAAGCCAAAATATTTCGGCTGTAAAATGTTACTTTTCAAGTAATTTCCCGAGGAAAAGTTCCAAGTATCATGTTCTTTCGCAAGTTTAAGCTGGTGCCAATACTGTGCTTACGTTAGAAACATAATATTTGTCGGAATTAGCATGACTGTGCATGCAGTGTTAATGATGTTTGCACACGAAGATGAGACCATAAAAGTGTGTTATACTGAAGACCTTATCTAAATAAGGGGAAAGATTCTGAATAAGGGACTCCAGTCTTTTGGAACTGTAGAGAATATTAAAATGTGTTAAGGCCGGAATTTGCCCCAATTAAAGAAGGCCAACTATAACTACACCCTAAAAGCGTACAAATACGAAAGATTACAAAAAAAAAAACTCCGCTGCCTGTAGTCCGCAAGCGAATTATACCGACCGAGCGACCGCAGCTTGTCGGCGAAGTTAGTGCCAATTTTAGCGGATAGAGGGTGTCACGTGGTCAGCGCAACGGATCCCCACGGCCGCTAGATTTTCTAGATTGGAGCCGGTATTTCCTTGCAGTAGCTCATCAGTTATCTTCACGATGCTGAATGGACTTCTAAGGAAATCTGGTAGCGCCGGGAATGGAACCCGGACCTCTGGATCTGTGGGCAGGAACTCTGACCACTAGACCAAAATATTACAAAATAATGCGGGCTCATAAATTGTAGAAGTACACTCTTCCTGTAATTAAAGTAAATACCTTTCTAGCTATTGCGATGTATCCAGGGAAATCAGTGTTGTCTCTTGACAGAAGACTTTTTAATTGTGAATTAAGTATAAGCCAGAAGATTTCCCAATCCACTTCGGCAAGTGAGAGGAGTAGAAAATGATCGACAGTTCTGCCAGCGTGACACACTGTACCCAAAAGTAGAAACGTGTGTCGTGGCCTTGAAGATGCATATTATTAAGTTGACGTTTGCTCTCTGTGTTCAGGGAAGCTGTGAGTGGTGGCGGGGTCGTGGCACGAGGCAGCTAGGCGACATGGAGCTGTGCACCACCCTGCTCCTACTTGCGGGTCTCACCACCAGCATCGCCCTCGCTAGAAATCTAGGTGAGTGCCTGTCACACTGCTCATTGATGCAGTGGCGTAATGATATTAATTCATTAAGGGAACTTGAAACTTTATTCACTATTGGAATGCAGTTACTCCAGCTAGCAGCCTGTTATCAGTGTGCTCTTTGTAAGAACAGTATCACAGGCGTTAATTTAAAACCGAATCAGTAGTCGTCTGTGAGTTTAAGGTCCTCAGAAGGTATTTGAGCACGAAAGTTGTGTATCCACAAAAGAGAAAGAAGGTTATGATTTTATAACCTTAGAGGAGGTGGTTAGAATGGTCTAGAACAAGGAGATGCTTTATCGCCACTGCTTTTTAACTTTGCTTTAGAAAGGTCCAGGAAAACCAGGTGGGACTGATATTAAATAGAACACATCAGCTTTTGGTCAGTGCTGATGATGTGAGTCTACTGGGTGGTAATATACGTGTAGATTCATTCATCCATCAGTAATCTGTCAGACGACAGGTCCACAGTCTCTTCCAAAACAGTTCCTCCACTTGATGCTATCTAGAGCTTTCTCCTTCATATGAAAATATCCTCTTCTGTCCCCAAGGTCATCCAGCATCTTCTTACGTCTTCTTCCTCGTCTTCTGGTCACTTCTATCCGCCCCTCTATCTTTCCTTCAATAGCTTCTTTTAGAAGGCAGTTTCTGCGTAAAACGTGACCAATCCAATTAGCTTTCCGTTTTCTTATTTCGTGTAGGATATTCCTCTGCTCACTGACTGTAATTAACACTTCTTAATTTCTCACATAATCGGTCCAACCGATCTTCTCCATCCTTCTCCAACACCACATTTCGAAGCTGTCCAGGTGTTTCTGATCTACTGCCCTAAGTGTCCAAGTTTCAGCCCCATACAAAGAGTGATAATGTGGTAGTTTTTCCATTTGCTTTCCACATCGCAGTACAACAGCCGTTCAAACCACTCTGGTCACGCCTGTTGCTATACGAACTTGAACCATCTCGAGCATCATTTGCTCTGTGCTTCAAGTCGCTGCTGATGACGCTGCTTCCAGCATCAGTTTTTGGTGTTTGGCGTCTCTCTTCGTCTGATGCCTACCCTTTGACCTGTCCAGCAAGGGAGGCCCTGCCAGTAGCTACGCTACCGCTGGTATAGCTCTCAGGGTCCTTGTCATACTGAAACCCACTCACCACGATAAGGTGGAGACACCAACGAGGGCGTAATATAGATACCACAAAGAAAAAAAACACAGACTGTAATTGACGTTAGTAAGGAGGTTGGTATAGAAATGAACACAGAAGACTAAGTATATATTGCTGTATCGTCATCAGAATGCAGGACAATCATGACATGAAGGTAGGTAACAGATGCTTTGAGAATGTGGCACAGTTCAGATATTTGGGAACGACTGTAACAAATCGAAACCTGATTCAGTCCAGAACCTTTTCTCTCTTCTGCTGTCTAAAAACATAAAAAAAATGTACAAAACTATAGTTTACTGTTGTTTTCTATGAGTGTGAAAGTTTGTCTCTGATATTAAGGGAGGAACATAGACTGAGGGTGTTGGAGAACAGGCTGTTGAGAATATTGGTACCAAAGAGAGACGAAGTGACGGGAGGTTGGGGAGAATTGCATAACGAGGAGCTTTATAACTTGTACTCCTCGCCAAGTATAATGAGAATATGAAGTCAAGGAGGATAAGATGGGCAGTGAATGCAGCACGAATTGTGGAGAAAGAGAATGCATTCAGGTAATTGGTGGGAAAGCCAGAAGGGATATCAAGACGTAGGTGTATGGATAATGTTAAAATGGATCCTACAGAGATACGATATGGTGGTATGGACTGGATTGATCTGGCTTAGGATAGGGGTCAGTGGAGGGTTCTTGTGAACACGGTAGTGAACATTCGGGTTCCATAAAATGCTGGGAAGCTCTTGAGTAGCTGCACCGTTGGCGACTTCTCAAGAAGGGCTCAGCTCCGTGAGTGAGTGTGTGCGTGTGCGAGAAAGAGAGAGAGAGAGAGAGGAGGTTAAGAACTATGCATAATTCGATCATTAGCTGACAACTGGTAATAGAACCATAAGGTTCAACACTATTAGAAACAAAGCCTACAGTTGGACACGATTCAAAATTAGTTTCGTCTACGTCAACTGGCGTAGCGCACGAGAGAGCAGAATCATTTCCACCAAAAACTTAAAAACTCCTTGCATGTGAAGCAGTGAAATTGCAACATATTTTTACCAAGACGGAGAACTACTTGGGAGGGATGTGGGGACACTGGCATGTCTTCGTACTAATTCCCCCCCCCCACACGCACGCAGAAGTGAGTTTCATCATTTTTTTTATTCTAATCTCAGTTCCATATATCAGTGTAAGAGAGACAGAAGTGGCCCTCAGATGACCACAGCATCAATCATGCAAGAAGACTTGTTACTAAGTAACATTTTGAAAGGAGAAGGGTCGTCGAAGTTACCAGTTGATTGCCTTACATACGCTTGTTTTAGTGCGTTTCGTTTTGTATATAGAAACCGAACCGTATCACTCGTGTGCAGCTATAGTGGCGTAAGCCATGTTTCGGAATTACGCGCTATGTTCGGGATGATCCTGCAGATATGCGAATTCTGTTTTATTCAAACCAGCAATTCCTTACGATTGTCCACACAGTTTCGTCTTTGTTCATTGATTCGGAAACTGAAACGCCTTCATATGTGAACACGAAATGGGAACTTTAAGTTTTGGTACGAGATAAAACGATGAACCGGGATAACGTAGTCTGTATGGCGACTGTACGGGCTGGACGACCGAGGGGTCGGAGTTTGAGTCCCAGTAGGGTCAAAAATTTTCTCCACGTCGTTCAGATCGAGTCTGGGGTCCACCCAATCCCGTATTCTATGGGTACCGGGGGCTCTCCGCGGGGTGAAGCGGCCGGGGCGTGAAGCTGACCACTCACCTCCAACTAGTGCCGAGGTCATGAAAATGTGGAACTATATATCCAGTCCCCCGTACGCCTTCATGGCGTAGTGCTCCATTAGTTTACCTTTTACCGTACGAGATAAAATGATACCGCTTCTGTAGCAATGTTCCGAATGTCTTACGAATCCTTTGTTTGAGCACTGTACCGTTAATGCACGTCGTTGAGGGGCGGAACATGTAACGTGTGGGTGAGACGAATTCATGCAGAGTTCTGATCGGATTGCATAAAGGGAAGAGTATACTTCGAAGGCGAAGGCCTGGGTGAGAGAATGTTAAAGTGGATATTAAAGTAATAGAGTGGGAGGGTGAGGACTGGATTCATCTGTGTCAGAATAGAGACCAGTGGCAGGCTGTTCTGTACTCGACTTTGATCATGCGGGATCCACAAGAGAGACAACACATCTTGACTAGTTGAGCAGCGGTTAGATTCTAACACGACTCTGAATTTGCTTCGTTAATAATCAGTTTAGAGGCAGAATTAAAGACGCCGCTTCGAAACAGAAATACCGTACCGACCAAACAGTAGGGTATCGCAGGTACCGGGTTTTGCGCGAAGTTTTAACATGGTGGGGTGAGGTTATATTATTTCCGAGTACCGTAACGCCTTTTACTACCTGTTTCCACATTCTTCACTGCAGATTCCAGTGATTTGTAATCGAAGAATCAACCGAATGCAGAAAGAGCTGACTTAGTATTGTGAGATAAGCCACCATTATCTGCTTCTCGTGGTATCTCACAGTTGCTCTTCCGTTTAAAGTTTAGTCCCCTGAATAGTAATGCTGTGCTTTGACTTGGGTTGCGTGTACCTACGTCACAGGGACATCGATTTTATATTGTAGCATTGAAGAAGCACTCCCAGGGTCTCGCCTTACCGTCCTCTTTGATGTAACCATGAGTCGTCACCATGCTAATGGAAACAAGAGCAGACTAACTGAAGAGGATTCCGTTGTACGAACATGGATACATCACCTACAGGAGATCAGTGCTGTGCTATGTCGAGGCGTCAGAGTGTCTCATATTTCGCAGACCAGAAAATCAGATTTGGGCGGAGGGCAGACGTCATGTTCGAGGATGTGTGTGGTTTTCATTTAGCGTCTCACATTCAGTACCCGCCTCTCACAATACGGCACCTATGCGGTTTCTTATCCCGCAAATACCTTTTCTGAAATCATACCGACTTGTCCGAGCTGTGCGTGCACAAGCTACATTTTAAGTAGTAATTAAGAACGCAAACGATTTCTTCATAACTTGTACTCTTCTCCAAGTATAATTAGAATGATCAAGTGTAGAAGGATGAGGTGGGTAGGGCATGTAGCACGAATGGGGGAGACTATGAATGCATATAGGATATTGGTGGGAAAGCCAGAAGGAAAGAGACCACTGGGAAGACCAAGGCGTAGGTTGGTGGACAATATTAAAGTGGATCTTAGAGAGATAGGATGGGATGGTATGAATTGGATTGATCTGGCTCAGGATAGGGACCAGTGGAGGGTTCTTGTGAACACGGTAATGAACCTTCGGGTTCCAAAAAATGCTGGGAAGTTCTTGAGTAGCTGCAGAATTGGCGGTTTCTCAAGAAGGGATCAGCTCCATGAGTGAGTAAGTAAGTAATTGAGAACACGACGACCCCACACCCACACCCGCGCCCTAGGAGAAGGTCACAGCTTCCTGGAAGGTACTGGCAAACAGTTTATGGACCACGGACTATTCCTTCAATAAGACGACGACAACGACGAAGTAATTTCAGTCCCATACTATATCCGAAATCCTAACTGCCGTTTTTGTGATTTTACTCAGTCCCCTCAGATAAATAGGCCACATTATCCTCATTCATACAAGCAGAATCTGTCCCTCCGCGTGTTTCCCTGGACGGATTGTTAACACCAGTAGTTGATAAAACATCGCAGGAACACGGAGCAATCTGCAGACCATGTAAAACTGCTAATTGATCATATCTTGTGATTATAAATTGTCATGTGGTTTAAGTCGGGATAGTGTAGTTGGTATAGTGACTGGCTACGGGCTGGACGATTGAGGGGTCGGAGTTCGAGTCCCGGTAGGG